ATCGCGCATCGCAACGACGCCGTGCGCTCGATTATTACGATAAACCGCGTCATCCGCCGTGCAGCAGCCGGAAGCGGAGTGCGGCTGCCACGTGCGTGTCACCGTACCATTGCCGCGTATCGTCTTATGCGCGCAATCGGCGCAATTAAGATAGAAGATGATTCGTTCTGATCTCTCGTATCGGCATCGCAAAAAAAGAAATACTATTCCTGAATCGATTTTTGCTTTTCTCAAAACGCCGGGAGGTCTTTTGATCGCAAGCGCGTCCATATATCTTAACTCTTCCGCTCCTAGTCATCGCGCGTTTGAATCGCTCGTACATTAAATAAAATGCGAACTTTGTATTATTTTTGCCCTTCCAATTTTTGCAAATACAAAAGAGGAATCGCGGGAGGATTAAGATCCCGCCTTTTCTCGAGTATACAACGCCGGGATTCTGCGGATTAATGGGTACACACACACACATCATCATGACAGACTATGCCGTACGGACGGAGGAGGAAAAAAAAAAGAAAAAATAAAAAGGAGAACGTGAAAGAAAAGGGAAAAGAAGGAGGATCGTATGCGCGCCTTCATGGGCAGACTCCTCGGGGAGAGGATGCACAGCGATAATTGGCGATGCCTTTAAGCATCGCTATAGCTCCGGGTGTACCTATTATACCTACCGCGGCGCGTGCATTATGACGAATGAACGTGCACACGAGGTGGACTCGTCGGTCCTCCTTCCCGTCTCGTTGCCACGCCGACGGTACGAGTCTGCTTTTCCTGTTGTATATACGCAAGCTTGTGTTTAGGTAGTCACATACGATGGACATATTGCTCGTCAGTTCGCAAAAACCATCATTTTGTCACATGTTTTTGAGCGCGGCTTTTACCAAATTTTTATATTCTTTCTTTTCTCTCTCTCTCTCTCTCTCTCTCTCTCTTTGTTTTTTTTTTTATTTTTATTTATATTTGAAATCAAATGTAGATATGCTCTCGTACTCTGCATAGTATAAACTATGATTCACACTCTCCTCAACGATATATCGAACAGATTGCACAACAACCCTCGACTAACTGTTAACACAATACGACCGCGTGTCAAAGGTTAAACGCCATCGATCGTCATCGCGTCGCAATGTCTACCGACTGGTTATTTTTAAGCGAGCGCGTGGTATCACCCCGCAAGCATCTTACGTGACTGCACCGGCGGCGACGGCGGCGACGGGCCGCACAAGGTAGAATTTCAGAAAGACTACTCTTCCGGGTGTGGAAGAGTCTATAGTACCTACTACACTACTACTCGGAGAGCCCCGAAAGGGTTAGAAGACCGTACCGCAAGAAACAGACCTCCGGCGATGCCGAGCGATGCTGCTTCCTCTTCCCATCGCGATCTCCATTTCCTCGAGGAAAAAACGTGGCGGACAGTCGTTCTACAAGGTATGCTAAGCTAAGCCGCGCAAGAAGCGGCGGTCTCTCAGGACAACCTCGAAGGTGGAAGGAAGGCAGCGGCCAGCTAGGCGTGAGTCATCGAGGCGAGACAAGATCTCGAGTAAGGAGGCGGCCTTGATGCCGCGAAACTGTTGGCGATATCGGAACGCCGGTTCCGATCGTCGTCACGTTGTGCGAACTATAAAGTCGCTCCAAGGAAGGATTAGGATAAATCGGAGCAACACATATATAGAGTGTTCGACCGGAAACCTCTTGACGACATTTTACATTCGATTAATGAATCACGCGTAAATTCGCGTAAGAGAATAACATTACAATTTTATATATATACACAGTTTGTCCGGAAAGTTCCCGGACTGATTTTTTCTAGCGCGGGTAAGCG